AACCTGGGCAACATAAGTGAGACCTTAAGAAACAAGGTTTTTACTTAAGATTTTTAACTTCATTGGAACTACAAAGAAAAAATATTTCTGTAATATTTTGATAAGTAATGTGCCAGAAAGATTAATTGCATATTGACAGTTTATGCCTACTTAATACTTATATAGTGAGTCCACTTTCTCAAAATCAGTTGTCCAGTGGGAGAGATACTGATAACTTGTAGTGGATGCCTGAGATTATGTGTAGTACCAAACACTATATTTTTCCTCTATATACATGCACAAATATATAGTTAATTTATCATTAGCCACTATAAAATATTGAAAGCAACACTAAAATAAAATAACCATAATATGCTGTAATAAAAGGTACATGATTATAATGTCTTTGTTCTTTTTATCCTGGTAAAATTGCGTAAAAAGTGAAACTGTAATATTATAAACGCCAATTCTTTACTTATCTTGAATAGAAAGCAAATCCATTCGTAGTTAAAACATCTGCTTTTATTTTGTTACCTTAGTTTCTTACTTTAAAAAATTGTGTGTGTGTATATATATATATATATATATATATATATATATAAGATATGGCTGAATTGTGTTCCCTCAAAATCCTTGGGTTGCAGTTATAATCTCTAGTGTTCTTAGAATGTGACTGTATTTAGAGTTGGGGACTTTAAGAAAGTAATTAAGTTAGAATGAGGCCCCTGCAGCCTTGAGGAAGCCTAGCCATTGAGTTTACAATGGAAAGATGCCAGACCATTTGTCTTAAGTATGCTTGAAAAGGTAAAGGATACCAAAGAGCTAAAAAAAAAAAAAAGAAAAAGGTAAAACGAGAATATCAATTAAAAGGTAAAAATTACTAAAATAGAATAAAATTAAAATTCTGGATCTAAAAATGATAAAACTAAATGAAGAAAAAAATCAGCTGAGGGGTTCAATGGGAGTTTTGAATAATCAGAAGGAAGAAATCTTTCCATTTCCTAACAGATGGGGCAGCATCATTCTTTCTGATGGAAGCAGAGAATTCTAGTGTGTGTGTGTGTGTGTGTGTGTGTGTGTGTGTGTGTGTGTGTGTATCACATTTTCTTTCTTTTTTTTTGGTTGGTTGTGGGGCCTGAACTCTGGTCCTGGGTGCTGTCCCTCAGCTCTTCAGCTCAAGGCTAGTGCTCTACCACTTGAGCCACAGTGCCACTTCTGTTTTTTTCTGCTTATGTGGTGCTGATGAATTGAATCCAGGGCCTCATTCATGCAAGGCAAGCGCTCTACCACTAAGCCACCTTTCCATCCCCATGTATCACATTTTCTTGATCTATTCATCTACTGAGGGGCATCTGGGTTGGTTCCATATCTTAGCTATGGTAAATAATGCTGCGATAAACATAGTTGTGCTGGTAGCTTTAGTATGGCCTTGTTTATGATCATTTGGGTAAATGCTCAGAAGTGGGATTGCTGAGGCATAGAGGAGCTCTATGTGTGGAGTCTTTAGAGGAACCTCCATACTTCTTTCCATAGTGGTTGAACTAGTTTGTACTCCTACCAACAGTGCAGTACCGTTCCCTTTTGGCCACATCCCCTCCAGCATCTGTTGTAATTAGATTTCTTGATTATAGACATTCTAACTGGCGTGAGGTGGAATCTCAATGTTGTTTTGATTTGCATTTCTTTTATGGCCAGAGACGTTGAGCATTTCTTCATGTGTCTATTGGCCATTCTTATTTCCTCTTCAATGAAGACAGACCCAAAAAATATAGGTCCCATGGTTTCCCTTATTTGCAATAATTAATGTACATCTAGGATAATCTTATCAGATGAGCAGAAAAGCTCAAAGCTATGTACATATGACCATATAAGATGATGCTAAGTGAAATGAGCCCCAAGACATGGACACAGAGTTTTTCTTTGTTGTTGTTCCTTTTAATGTACTGTGTGATTTTTTTTGTTTCTTTTGTGTGTTTTTCTCCCTATGGTATATCCCTTGTTGTCACTGTGTATGATTTTGGTACCCTGCATCTTGTATACACATTTATCTAATTAGGGAAGGGGAGGGGAATAACAAAATGCCGAAACAAGGACACAGGATGACCCATTGCAATAATGATACTCACAAGATCTCTGTTGGAAATGAACTTTACAACCTTGTGGAGGGGGCAGAAGTGTGGGTGGTAAGGGAGGGATAGTAGAAGAAAAACAAAGGATGGGGGGTAACAATGCTCCAAAGAATTGCACTCATTACCTTACTCATGTAACCATAACCCCTCTGTACAGCATCTTTACAATAAAATAAAATTAATAAAAATATGAAGAAAGAAATCTGAAAATTTGAAAGAGGGGGTAATTGAAATTATTGTGTCTGAGAAGCAGAAAGAGAAACTAATGAACAAAAGTAAACAGAGCCTTCTGTGGAATATCATCAGGTAGAGCAGTATGTATATACTGTGAGTTTTGAAAAGGACAAGAGGGAGATAGGCAGAAGGTGTATTCACAGAAATAATTACCCCAAACTTCCTAAATCTAATGAAAGAAACAGTTCTATATACCCCAAAAGTTCAATGAACTTCAAGCAAGAGAAACACAGATATATCAAGATACATAATAGTCAAAGTTTCAAAACCCAGATGAAGAGAATCCTGACAACAGGAGAGAAGTGATTCTTCATACATAACAGACCCTCAAGATTAGTAGCTGCGACTCCTGAGTGGCTAGGATTATAGGTGTGAGCCACCTGTGAGCCCAGGTGCTGGGTTTCCTGTAAGGATTTAAAAGATCACAAATGAGCCTGAGTATCTTTTCATATTTGGAGCTTATGCCTTTTTCTTCTGTGAAAAGTCTTCTTCTTCTTCTTCTTCTTCTTCTTCTTCTTCTTCTTCTTCTTCTTCTTCTTCTTCTTCTTCTTCTTCTTCTTCTTCTTCCTCTTCCTCTTCCTCTTCCTCTTCCTCTTCCTCTTCCTCTTCCTCTTTTTCTTCCTCTTCTTCCCTCCTCCTCCTCCTCCTCCTCCTCCTCATCCTCCATCATCATCGTCATGGGGCTTGAACTCTGGGCCTGGGCGCTGTCCCTCAGCTCTTCAGCTCAAGGCTAGCGCTCTACCACTTGCACCATAGTGCCACTTCCAGTTTGCTGGTGGTTTATTGGAGATAAGAATTTCATGGCTGCAGGATCAAGAAAACAAAAGTATATCCTAGCACAGAAGTAGTTTGATGAAAACAATGGCATCTCAGATTAGGGAAGAATAAGTAGGGCCTGCAGTGGGTGATGTTAGCACACCAGTCTGTTCTTCATCTCAGGCTGATGCTCATCATCATTCTTTAAATGAGCATACATTCCAAACCAAAATTCTACAACTTCATTCCAAGATGCTTTATTTCAGATCTGTATTTATACTCCCCAAGTTTACTAGCCATCTTTTTTTCTTTTTTGTCGGTCGTGAAGCTTGAACTCTGGGCTTGGGCGCTGTTCCTGCACTCTTCAGCTCAAGGCGAGCACTCTACTGCTTGAGCCACAGCACCACTTCTGGTTTTCTATAGTGGTTTATTGGAGATAAGAGTCTCTTGGACTTTCCTGCCTGGGCTGGCTTTGAACCACGATCCTCACATCTCAGCCTCCTGAGTAGCTAGAATTACAGGCGTGAGCCACCGACGCCCAGCTTTTACCAGCCATCTTGAACATTCACTATCTACCTGTGGTCCTTTTTATTCCACAAATGTTCATGTTCATTTTCTTTCTACTTATTTGTAATTAGATCTTAGAAAGATAAGTGCCCTTCTATCCATAAGCTTGGTATCTGTTCTCTTGCTGCACTAAGATTAGTCTAATTCGAGAAAGTGAATCTGGGGGGAGGGCAGCCTGAAAAATTAAAGATAAATTGGAGTATAAAAAAAAAGCCATCCCCTGCTGGCTTTGAATCATGATCCTCAGGTCTCAGCCTTCAGAGTAGCTAAGATTGCAGATGTAAGCCACTGACTCCTGGCTTCACTTCTTTTTTTTTTAATTTTAGTTTTTATTGTAAAGTTGAAATACAGAGGGGCTACAGTTACATAAGTCAGGTACTAAGCACATTTCCTTTTTTAAAAAAATGTTATCTTTAAGTAGTTGTACAAAGAAGTTCCCATTCTATACAACAGTATATGAATACAAAGTGTCTGATAACCCACCCCTTCTCTCACTTTTTTTTTTCTTCTTTTTTTTTTTTAAATTGAGATTAGGTGATTACATAAATTTCACATATTTCACAGTATTGTGGAATAGTGATACTTAAAGTCACAAACACATTTCAACCTTCACAAGGCAAATTGTCATTATCATGGTCTATAAAGTTTGTGAATTTTATGAGTTTTGACAATACAATTTTTCTTCCACATCAGGTGATATTTACATTTCTTTCCTTTTGCTTAGTGTAAACTGTTCCCTCTTTCAAGTACATTTTTTTGAACAGTGCTACCCCCTCCCTCATTTTTTTCTTATTCACTTCTGTTTCCTATTTTTCAACTGGTTTCCTATATATATTTATATATATGTATATTTAATTTATTGGAATATATATATATATATTCTAGGCACTAAAAGTTTGCCAACTAGTTGTATTACAGATGTCTTCCCAATAACTGTTGTGGAGGTAAGGGAGTAGTAGTGCAGAATGGCTTCATGTTGGGGAACTGAATGGAGGATGATGCATTAACACTAGGAAATAAACTAGAGGAGAAGAAACAGATCTAAGGAAGAGAAAGGAGTTTAAAGCATTTTGGAATTTGAAGTTGTTTTGGAATACTCAGATGGAGGTGTCTTCTAGAAACTTGGCTATAGAGTTGGATGATCATAACAAGTTCCCTAATACCACATCAATCAGGTAGGAATTTTATATGAGGGGCCTTCCAGGAGACTGGAGTCAGAAGGAGTATGGCAGTTCTCCAGCTCAGTTGTCCTCTACCCATTCCAACTTCTCCAGGACATTGACACTCCAATCTAGGAAGTAAATGCCTCTGTCAAATAACACAAGATACCCCATCTTAATTAATAATTACTTTATTACTTTTTTGACCTTTCAATATTTACGTGTTCCTTCTTAATATCTGCACACATTTTTAAGTTTTAATTTCAGTTTATTTTTGTTAAATTTTAGATCAAAGTATATTGTTAATACACAAAATACATAAATAGTATGTACAGAATCATAAAGTGAATGCACTCAATATGGCTGCCATTACAACTTTGCACACATTTTTTGAAAACTGTTCAGCACATTTGTCTCAATATTTAAAACTGGATCTAGATTTTAAAACTTCTTCAGTTACTTGCATATAACTTAATTACACAGATTAGTTTAAATACAATGAAAATAATGTAAGAAAAATAGAGCTAAGAATTCTACTGTGTACAGTCTTTCACTGAATATTTCTATGTACATCTCCACACACTTCTAGCTTCCTGTATGTGTTTAGAATTACCTGTCTATAACCACTGGAAGAACATGGGTTCCCTGGAAGGATCCAGTAGAAGCCAATGAAGTATTTTTTAAAAGCAGTTGCATTATTACTTGGGTTGCATACCTCTTAGTTTTATTTGAGAGTTGAATAACTCTGATAAACCCAGAGGAGAACACAATTCTTTAGCAACTCTTCGAAGTAAGGAGAGTGTCAGGACTTGGCACATTTGCTCAGAATATTGCACTTCAGCATAGCTTATGGAGTGATAGAGTTACTACTGGACTTGTTCAAGATGATGAACCATCTGCTTTCCTACAAGAGTAGTAGCAGCTAATTTGGTGAGTGTGGATGGTCATCTTTTAGGAGAACTGCAAACCAGGGACAATTAGGTTTTGGCATCCATTCTACGCAGGGTAGTCATGGGAGAAGCAGCCTCTCTGAGGTCCTCTCTGAGGTATCAGCACTGCAGTGACTTGCTTCTCTCATTTTAAGGAGATCTTTTAGACCTGTAGAAAGAGAAAGTGTATATGTTGAGAATCAAAGACTCTTGTTTCAGTCTTGTTTCTACTTAAAACATACTGAGTTTATAGGGTAACCCATAGATCATAAGGTAAAAGGTTTGGTGAGTTTTCCTGCCACTACACAGTCATCCTACATGAACTGAAGGAGCTGGGTTTTTTGTTTGTTTGCTTTTGGGGTCCAGTCGTGGGGCCTGAACTCTGGGCCTGGGCGCTGTCCCTCAGCTCTTCAGCTCAAGGCTAGCACTCTACCACTTGAGCCACAGCGCCACTTCTGGCTTTCTTTTTTTTCTGCTTATGTGGTGCTGAGGAATCGAACCCAGGGCCTCATGCATGCAAGGCAAGTGCTCTACCACTGAGCCACCTTCCCGGTCCCCTGTTGTGTTTTTTTTTTTTTTTTTTTTTTAAGACCAAACAAGGTTGGGGGAAATTTGGCAGTGTTGCTTGGATAGTTGTAGTTCTATTTCAAGGTTGAGGTTCTTTGCCCCTCCTTTAAACAAGTTCCACACAACAGCACTCTAGGGTGTGTGTGTGTGTGTGTGTGTGTGTGTGTGTGTGTAAATGGAGTTAGAAAAGGGCTTTATGGTGACATATGTTTAAGGATCCCATAGCAAAGGCTGGTATTTCTAACTTCCCATGATTGCCATTTCCTAAAAAGCAGTTTTGGAAGCAGCAGACCTACCTTTCTTTGGTAACATTTTTCAGTAATTTCTTGATGACCTTGGATTCTGGGTTCAAGCATATTTTTTCTCCATTTTTCATAGTAGCACTGTAGAAGTAAATGGTAAAAATATTTAGAATAATGTGGGGACAATCAAACAACATGCACTACACAGTTCCCAAGTCAGACACTTTTTACCCTAGATATTTGTTTGTTATACGTTATTTTAGAATCATCGCAAACCCTTTATTGATCTTTTGTGATTAATATATCAGTACAGCTGGAGAAGTGGTCATCAGATTGGTGTTTACTTACATGACCTCAACTTGTTCACAAGATTTACTTTTAGGAATAATTTCAAGCTTGTCTAAGGACTTTGGAGTAACAGGTCGACTGCTGATCTTGATGCAGCTGCAGCGTATCGTTCTAGAGAGAGGAATTCCTGCAGGAAGACAGGCAGAGCAGAGAAGGTTAGCACAGTGCTTCTTTCTAGGCATTTAATGTAGCCTGAGTAGAACTTAGAGTCTATATCTCATATTGTCACATAGTCTCTTAAATCCCTTGTGTCACAGGTCTGAACAATTTAATGGCTGATGATCTGGAAGAAGGGAATTGCAACTTGCTTGTGATACCCTCCCCTGTGTGCGGTTTATATTATTAAGCTTAGGTAAGGAAGTATCAGTTTCTTATCCTCTCCTTCTTCCCTCCAATTTTTGTTCTCTAACCTAATTTTTATTCCTTTTCCCCTTCTTTCTCTCTCTCATTGTACTTGTTTCTCTCATTTCAGCCATTCATATGAACTATGACCAAAGAGAACTTCTACTTATTTCCCTGTCATTTATAGAAACACAGTGTAGGTCACAAATACATTATTTCTATATTTTTAGAATTTGTACCCAGACAGATTTCTGATTTTATAAATTAACTATCTTTTGATGTTTCTTACCTTGAATCCCATTTAGAGTCAGAATGATAAGGCAGCAAAGAAGAATGCTAGTCCGGTACATGGTGCTGAGATGTGAGGTTCCTCTGTGTTAGGCTTCAGAACGTGCCTTACAAAACACTGAGCTACTATGCAGTATTTATCTGCAAAAGCACTTTCCCTCCCTAGCTATGATTGGATAATATTACAGTTGAGTCAGCAAATCCTGCCACTATTGGGAAGTCTCATGTTGCAAAATCAAACTTTTTTATTGTGTTCTTTGAGTTATGGAAATTCCCTCTGCTTCCTTCTTCTTTTCTTCAATGAGTAAGTTTCACTTTCAAAACCATGAATGATTTCTTGAAAATCAGAATTTTATTGCATATGTACATGGCTTTTTAAATGGAACTTTAAATTTTTATTCTTCATCTCCCATAAAATACCAAGTTAATTTTTAAGTCATAATCCTAAATACAGTTTAAACATGAGTATGTCTTAATACTGTGTTTTGCATCCATCTTAATTTGCAGCAGTAAGATAAGCATAGGTATATTTTACATTGTTTAGTCTTTAGGATTCAGAGGTTTCATACATTGCTATTTGCACCTACAGTTGAAAAAATCCATTTTATTTTATAGATGGATAAAGTAAGTGGATAAAATGAGTAAGTTGCTATTCACATACTCATTTTATTGGGTTATACAAAGTTGTCATGTATTTACTTGTACTATGATGCATTTTTTCAATACTATTTTGATTGTTTTCAGAGGCTGTGTCTCATTTATTGTAGGTAACAGCAAGGTGTATGTGATGTTTAGGAGAGATGATGTAGCTGGGCAGTGCTCTTCATTAAGTGCTGTAAAGCAATAGGGTTGGTCTTCTTTGAAGAAGTCAAGATTCAGAACTAGAAATTTTCTTTTTCTTTCTTTCTTTTTTTTTTGGGGGGGGTGTCCTGTCTTGGGGCCTGAACTCTGGGCCTGGGAACTGTCCCTCAGCAATTCAGCTCAAGGCTAGCGCTCTACCACTTGAGCCACAGCGCCACTTCCGACTTTTTTCTTTTTGCTTATGTGGTGCTGAGGAATCAAACCCAGGGCCTCATGTATGCAAGGCAAGCACTCTACCACTGAGCCACCTTCCTAGCCCAGAGCTAGAAATTTTCAAAGATTCCATAAATGCTTTGGTTTGACCATACATAGCAGCAACATTAGAATAAGTACATGGCCTTTAGCAAAACTATCTTGAGAGAAAACACTGCCCATTTTAGATATCTGATTTCTGGTGTGTGAAAATAAATTTTATGTCTTAGAGTAAGTCCTGGGATGAAAACTACATAAGATGACATCTAGAATGGTATGAGAAAAGTACTTGTTGCTATGAAACGGTTATTGCAAAAACAAAAATCTGCATACTTTTTGAGGACATAAATTTAAAAGGAGTTATAAATACATACACACTTTGGGAAAACAGCTTGAGACATAAAAGAAATGGGTTTATTTAATACAGAGCTTAATTCCAGGAGACTGTTCAATATAGAGCAAAAGAAAAAATTTGTCAGCTGTTGAAAGCCAACAGTGTTAAATTAGCACAATTTCACCTGGATGATGAATAGGGACAGAATTTCATTTCTTAGCACTAGGTAGTCCATAGCTGATTATTATAGTAGATGGCATAGTACCCGAATCATGGAACATTTGTTATACTTGGCAGTAGTCCTTGGTTATGGTCTTTGCAAGCCAGTGGCAATAGGCCATCTAAGATGAAACTCTTCAAAATTCAGGCCTTACCTGTGATACAGTGGCTCAGATTGTTAATATTTGGAACCTAGAAAATTATAAGGCAAGTCTTTCATGTCAGGTAGGCTACAACAAGGTAGGAATGACAGTGATTCTATTGTAGGCTCAGACTAGTGAACAGGGTATGTAGGGGTCTAAAACTTAATGTCAGGGGCCAAGAATGAAGCTCTCTCTTGCAAATCCTGTGCATACAAAAGCTGAAATCTCAAATGCAGTTTTGCTATCAATGACTGGCTGCCAGAGGAAAATGGAAGTTGTTTGAGTGCTAAATCTTAGGTTAATCTATTCCAGGAACTGGAAGACCAAAGCTCAGCTTTCACTTGTGTGAGGTAATGGGCTTAGCAGTGGGAAGCTGGAAGGAAGGGAAATGAATAGTCTGACAGAACCCACAAAGATTTTGCTTCTGCTGAGGGAATCGTTTAAGACATGATGAGGAAATGGGGCGGGGGGGTCTTCTCATAGTTGTTTATGCAGAATAAAAGCTATGAATAAAGATGCCAAAATATTTTAGAAATAACTCCAACATCATAAGTGGAAAAAATTCTGAACAGTTCAGCATTGAATATTCAAAAGATATCTTACTTATATCTAAGTTCTCAGTCAAGATGTAGTCTTTTATATTTGTCAGTCCTGGGGCTTGAACTCTGGGCCTGGGCACTCTCCCTGAGCTTCTTTTGCTCGAGGCTAACACTTACCCACTTGAGCCACAGCACTGCACCACTTCCAGCTTTTTCTGTTTATGTGATACTGAGGAATCGAACCCTGGGCTTAATGTATGCTAGGCAAGCACTCTACACTAAGCCCCAAGATATGGTCTTTATGGCAAAGAAAAAAGGAGATTTGGGGCATATACTTGGTTCAATCAACTAAAAAACTTATATTAAGAAGAAAATATGTCCTCATTCAATTTTAAAATTAATATTCTAATTAATGTTAATATTTTAATCAAATTTTATAAAAATTTCAAATTAATATTTTAAATAAAATATTACTTAGTATTATCTACCTCTCAGACAGGTTTCAAGTGCCTTGTGATATGAACACTGATTTGGTTACAATCACTCTGGAACTCTAGCTTTTTAGTCTATGTTTTCAAGCACTTTGTTAATGTAGCTGAAAATGTTCTTCATTTGGATTTCTGATTTAATTGACCAAAGTCATTGTTATGGTTATTTGGGGGCTTTGGGAATGTAGCACCTAGAAAAAGTTTAAGGTATATCTGTCTGACAATGAGATTCATGCTAAAATAGGGGAAAAAATCCATATATGTTACCAACACATATTATAGATATTCATATATGTGTCACCAGTAAGCAATCATACAGACATTTGCTCACTTACTGTTTTGCTTTTGTTTTTGTTTTTGACTGGTCCTGGGGCTTGAACTCAGGGTTTGGGTACTGTCCCTGAGCTTTTTTGTTCAAGGCTAGCACTCTGCCTCCACTTCTGGATTTTTGGTGGTTAATCAGAGAGAAGAGTTTTACAGACCTTACCTGCCTGGGCTGGCTTTGAACCATGATCCTCAGATCTCAGCCTCCTGAGTAGCTAGGATTACAGGCGTGAGCCACCTGCATCCAGTCACTTACAGCATTTTTAAAACAGCTTTCTTGCTCATGGCTAGTACTCAAACCACTTGAGCCATACCTTCACTTCCATCCTTGTGCTGTTTAACTGTAGAGAATCTTGTGGTTTTGTCTGCCCGGGCTAGTTCTGAATTGTGATTCTCAAATCTCACTAGAATATAAGCTGTATCCCTAGCAAGTAGAACATAACCTGGCATTTGGGAGGCATTCAGCCACTATTAGATGAATAGATAGATGGATGGACGAATGAGTCCAAATTTACAGAGTTGTGCTTCTTCAAAAAGCATTTGTAGGGGCTGTTAAGGTGACTCAGTGGTAGAGTGCTTGCCTTGTATCCTGGGTTCGATTCCTCAGCACCACATAAGCAGAAAACGCTGGAAGTGGTGTTGTGGCTCAAGTGGTAGAGTGCTAGCCTTGAGCTGAAGAGCTGAGGGACAGTGCCCAGAGTTCAGCCCCAGAGTTCCAGCCCCATGACTGACCAAAAAACAAACAAACAAACAAAAAACCAAAACAAATTTGTATTGGGCCATAAGATTTTCATATTTAGATATGGGTATTACTTTCCCTAGACTTAGGAACCAAGCTTAACTAAAAAAGACTTTCATTGCTCAGAAGTTAGCATAGATTTAGGTAGATGCTGTCAGTATGGGTATTCTCATCTCGTAAGCTAGACTCTTCATTTAAAGGATTCTGGTGTGAATATACAAGGTGTTGTGTCATTGAAAGTTCCTTCATTACTCATTGTCAGTATCTGTGATCATGTGTTGGCTAACTGAGGGAATGCAAACCTCCTCATTGCATATACTCATCTGCTGTGGATAGTGTTAGAAGAAGGAAAATTGTCTCTACTTTGTACAGAGAATGGAGGTACTCCCAGAAATATCAGTAGGGATAAGATCTAGTGTCCTTGATGGACTTGCATTCTAATTTGGAAGTCTAAAATACATGAAACATTTCAGGAAATTACTAATACAGAGGCTTAGAAGAGAGCATACTCATAAAGGCCACTAGTATTAAGAAGAGATTTCAGAGAGAAAAAGGATTCAGAAGAACCTTTATTGTGTACTGTACTGAGAAAGTAGCCAGGAGGAGAAAGTATATGCCAGTCATCAATGCCATGAAAAATAGTATGGAGGAAAGCCAACCAATCTGCTAGGAAAGCTGGTAGAGTCCTGTAATACCTTGCTAGGATTATGTAGTATCTGAACTTCAAGCTTTACAAGTTCAGAAAGTCCATGTTCCTCTGTGCTCAAGAGTAAGCATATGTACAGAGTTGTTCATTATATTCATTTTATTAAATCTGTGAAAACCTAAAATATAAACTAGGCAGTTTATTCATTTATAATGAGAACTCTGCCAGTGACTAAGATGATCTGCTCTTGTATACAACTCACTGCCTTTCCAGGATCAGAAAAGGGAAGATGAATTAGTCTATTCATTGTCTGGGGAGAATTGAATCAAAATCAACAATCTTTATATTTTTGAGGAGTTTGCTCAGGAGAGCAGATCAACATGGGAAATAACTCAGAAGAAAATCAAACTTCCCAAGACAACAGTAGACCTACTATTACTTTTTCATCCACAGTCAATACTGCACTATTTAAATAAAAACTAAATGATAACTGTTCTTTTGGGGGGGAGGGGTCCGGTCGTGGGGCCTGAACTCTGGGCCTGGGCGCTGTCTCTCAGCTCTTCAGTTCAAGGCTAGCGCTCTACCACTTGAGCCACAGTGCCACTTCTGGCTTTTTCTGCT